CGAATATAATAGGTAGACACGAAGGTGAACGTTATCTCCCGATGAGATATTGAACTGTTCTCAACGGCTTTCTCATGCTACTCTATTGACCCAGTACAATAAATATAAGTTCAAAGTAACGCCGACGTTCCGGTCTTATGTTGATTCGGGTTTTGTGGACAAAAACATAACTGGCAGCATACATTTTCTTATCTTCCGAAATGAAAGTACTTCCCGTATGCCTTCGCTCGTAATGGTGACAATGCCATGTGCGACTTCTATTTTTGGATAACTGTCTCTTGCCCGTGAAGAATTCGGCTTTTGATAACGGTGGTCCAAGCACAGCAATCTGCATCGACCTCGAGACTGGGATTCTGTTCCGGTCCTTTTCTAATCGGTAAGCTATTCTAGCTAAATGTGTGAAGACTCAAACTGTTTGCTAACTTCTCTGGGCAGTTCGAGTGTTAATGTAACATGTTTGCACGCTTTTCCCTCACCCAAAATGTGTGATTTCACGGAATTCATTTGGTCGCAGCCCCAATATAATTGTTAATGAATAAACAAACCAGTTGTCGTTTTCATCTCCCCTGAAGGACAAATAGCAGATAGCATATCATTGCACCTCCAAGGAGCCCAGCAGTGGTTCCTTTGGAACTGTCTCGATATCCGCCTACGCGCGGAGAATGGGGTGTGTTGCAGTCAATTTTATTTTGTGATACAGAGGAGTTGATTTTGTGTGAAGTATAAATACCAAAATTCGATTTTTACTTATCGCTGTCTACGTCGTACTTCATTACGCAAGATTACCGGACGGGTAGCTCCACGTTTAGACGGAAAATACTAGAAGGCGGGCTGCACCAACCGAAGCCAATGTTGTACCCAATCAGCTTCTGTATACCCGTGCGCCAAGTCATGGTTGGGCCGTTGCTAACTTGCTTCGAGTTTTGCCCAGCACGTGTAAAGACAACACAGAACAGTGGACGTTGCGCAGACGTTTGCAATTCTTACCGAGTCATTGCATATGATGTAGATCAATTATGTCTTTTCGAGAAGTACTATCAGCGCCCATACAAGACGATGAACCTCGTTATTAGTCCCCTATGATTGGATTCAGAGTGGAGTCAGATTTATTTTTATAGCATTCGATCCCTAATCGGTGCTTGTGTTAATACAGGTCTTTGTGGTATTTCCCAACTGGGGTCTTCAGGATCAACTGAACCAATCATGGAAACACTAAGTGACAAAATCGCTTACCGTAAACAGTGACGCTCGTGTGTCTGCTCACTCTCCTTACTCACCTAATGTTGCTCTTATTCGAGACTTACATTCACATTCCAATCTTATGTCCATCGATTGAACGATTTTTAGGAGACAACAGCAGTTGCTGGGACATACAAGTACACTGTTTAAGGCCTGTACAAACTGAACCCATTGTAAAAGTATTTTTCACCTGCTCAGACACGCCTACGCTAAATCGATTCGACGGATTTTGAGTTCGCAATTAGACTTAACTTCTGTGTTCCATAGTGCTAGAAGGTCAAAAATAACAACAAGCTTAGAACTTCTGACAACGAAGTATCAATTTGAACATTTGTGTGCATTTTTATTTTGGACGACAGCACGGTGGTCTGTCACGAAAGATGGATGGCGGTGGCAGTGGTCGTTTCTCCGACACTCGTTTGGTTTGCTATATGCCAATGGCAGCGACCTGAACTGCTAATTATTCACAGCACCTGCTCCCCAATGTCCATCGCCAGACGTTGTTCTCCATATTTGTTAGCCGGAAATGGCCGTTCCATCCGAAGGCCACTGGTGTGTCACGTGCAGAGATGAGGTGTTGAAGTGAACCACCTTCTTGTCGCCAGATAATACAACACATTCATGTACACGCTGTTCATAATATGGTAATTGTTGCGTGAGCGAATAACGGTCATTGGGTCTTGTTTAGTTCGCTATTATATATTTTATATTTTCACACACTTCTGATTCCAAACTATGTGCCAAACAAATCATGGTACAATAATCTTTATGAAAAAGAAAGACTTTCCATGGTTTGCATGTAGGTGGAATACTTCCCGGTTGCCCAGGCCAAGGCAGGTGTATTTTCTTGAGGAATCCACAACCAGAGCCTTTGGCTAGCCAAAGCCTGAC